TCTTAAGACATAACCCAGACAAGGTTCTCAGGGTCAATCTGATATCTTTTATTAGACCAACTGAATAGTTGGAGAAAATTCTTCTTTGCAAGCTTTCAGGTTTAGAAACCCTTCGTCAAGCTGAGGAAGCATCTAGTGTGCTCTTCCTGGATGGAAGGAATAGTAAAGAAGCCAGAGGTTGCCGCCTACCAGGAGCAGGGCCAGAGTGGGGAGAAGGCAGTGGCACCCCTCTGCAGGCTGCACAGGCGCTGCCCAGCCAGTTGGATGCAGTGGTGGGCAGGGGTTTGGAAGTTTGCATGCGGCAGCAGCAGCCGCCACCATCCACCACCCCATGCTGCCACTGTTTCATGTCTGGTTGTGCTCCCCCGCCCCCCGCATCCAGCAGCCAGGGGTACACTAATTTAAAAAGGTTGAAAACCCCTGCTCTAGAGAAAAGCAGTCCTTGCCACAGTCTCCTGACTGTGAAGAAGGGACTCCCACTACCTCCAGCAGGCCCTTGTTCTGTGGCTTGCAGCCACACACCATGTCTACTGGTTTGCTGAGCTATGAAAGGTGTTTCTTTGTGGTGTCTGGTGCCTGGCCCCATAGCAATTGTTGCAGCAAGACTCTCCTAGCTGGGTGGGGAGGGTTTTTCAGGTGGTATGTAGTGAGCATACTGGCTTCCTAGCAGTTCTCTTGCCTCTCGGAAGGATGCCCAGGTGGCCTGGTTCAGACTCTGGGAGGCCAGGTCCAGACTCCTGAGGCTTTGTAAAGGGTGCCATGAAGCTGCTTCTTTTCTTCTAGCAAAGGAGACCCTCTCTCCTGGTCACTGCTATGGCATGGGCAGGGTGGAGCATAAGATGCTTTCTCTCCTCCCTGGCAGGGTAGTGCCCTTGTTCCAGCCCTCTATTTGCAGGGGAGTGGCAGGTTTTGGGGCCTCAAACCAAGTTCATTTGTCAGTATTGGGGGCTGGGTCTGGGCCAGGGAAATGGGACAGTGCCCCTTAAGGCTTCCTTGCTCCAAGTCAAGAGAAATGAAAGCCCCAGGGGATCTCTTTCTTGTTGGTTTCACTCACTCCCTGTTCCCTAGATTGAATCAGGCTGAATTCAATATGCTTGTAATGTAGGATCTGGGCATTGAGGCTGGCAGCTTGGTAAACTGTCCTATCTCCTGTTGGGCACCATGGCCAGTTTCCCACCTGGGGTGTGCTTTCTGCAGGGTCCCTCAACTCTACAGAGCAAAGTCCTTTACAGTGGGGGCAGGGCTGCCTAAAGCAGCTATACAAGGTTGGGGAGGCAGCAGGGTTATACCCAGGGTCCCCCCTTAGGTGCATGTTTTGCAATGGTTCTGTTCTGGGTCAATTGGAAAGCACCAGTAGTGTTCGCCCCTTCTGGGGCATCAGGCATTGACCCAAGCATTTGTACCTGGAAAGAATGGGCAGATGGGCCTTCAGGACATGAACAGGGACTCTCCTATTCCTGTGTGACCCACTCCAGACCCCTTGCCTGAATAGGAGGTGGGGAAGTGGAAGTGCCCTTAGTGTGTGTCAGGGGCCATCCAGGGTTGGTTCCTGCTGTTTAAGTGTTCTCCAGCCAGACTGGAGTTGCTTCAGGCTCATGCCTTTCACTTGTGCTCCAATGGTATCAGAGTCAGGGAGTCCGTGTGACAACAGGATTGGTTCCCAGGTCCTGGACCCTAAACCCGCTCCTGGCCACATGACCTGCCACGCTGAGCTCATCCTTCCTGTACCTTTACCTGCAGCTGACTCCCATCCATGGCTTCCTACAGTGTTGTGTGGGTGCCTTTCCTTGAGTGTTCTGATTCTATCCTGTTCTGACCTAGATAACCAGTTCAGGATGTCGATCCTGGAGCGGCTTGAGCAGATGGAAAGGAGAATGGCCGAGATGACGGGTGCCCAGCAGCACAAGCAGGGAGTCGGAGGCGGGGGCAGCGGGAGCGGGAATGGAGGCACCCAGTCACAAGTATGAGCTCCCACCAGGCCCGCCTGATTCTTGCAGCTAGTGCAGCTGCAAAAGGGAATGAGGCGTCTGGTTCTCCTTTAAACACCACAGGTTGCTGTGGGAATCTCCCTTGCATGCTGCCTGTGCCTCAACCCTGTCACTAGCAGCTTTTAAAAGTGAAGGCTTGCAGTGACTTTGCACAGACTATGCCCCTATTCTTTCTGGATAGTATCTGAGATATGGGTATTGCTTGTAGTGCGTGTCTGGGCCTGGGACACTGGGCAGCTGCTTCGAGAGCCGTGTCGTGGTGGTATGCGAGAAGATGATGAGCCGTGCCTGCTGGGCCAAGTCCAAACACCTGATTCACTCAAAGACTTTCCGAGGCATGACACTGCTGCACCTCGCCGCTGCCCAGGGCTACGCCACACTGATCCAGACCCTCATCAAATGGCGGTAGGACCCAACACATCACACCGCAGGCTTGCCTGTACAGAACCCACAGGAAGCATATGTGAATTCAGGCTCTTTGCTTTCTCTTTCCTTGAGCAGAAGAGAGACCAGTCCCCTCCCTGAGCAGGCACCACGCTTTTGTACTGTAGACAACAGTAATGACCTAGGCTTATTACTAGATTCCTTGGGACTCAGCCAGCCCCTGTGTGATCTTTTGGTGTGCACTAGCCCCACTGCATTCACACACGTGTGTTGCTCAGCCCTTCATGGGCATTCTAGGCAGCACCTGAGAGCTAGGCGTGATGACCCTATTTTGGTGTGGGAAGCAGATGCATTGACAGATTGAATTACTTGGCTGTGGTCATGGGCAAGTCTGTGAGTAGTGGGGCCTAGTTGGTGTGGTGTCTACCAGAGCATCCTCTAGTCCCAGTGCTCATCTGTAACAAGTGGGTGCAGAGAGGTGCCATACCCGGCCCTCCTGGCAGTGACTGTTGCAGATGTGCTTGGGTTGTGGTTGTGTGGTTGGGCAGCAGGGTGCAAAGCTAAGGCTGTGGGAGGATTTCAGCTTAGCTACTGTGTCAGTTTGTGCTCTTGTTTCCTCTGCAGCACCAAGCATGCAGACAGCATTGACCTGGAGCTAGAAGTCGACCCTCTGAATGTGGACCACTTCTCCTGCACACCCCTGGTATGTACCAGCACCCATGAACTGTGACAGTGATGTAGCCCATGGAGATGGCCCAAAGGAGCTTCCTGAGGGGGAAGATGAGCATGGTTGACTGCATCGTTGGCTTTTGCCTGTGGTGGTGTAGAAGGGCCTTGCATGTTGTTGTGCTGTTCAGGAGGCAAGCACAACTCTTCAGCTCTCAGGGCTGAGAAACCAAAAACAACTTCCTTGTTTCATAAAGGCTTTTGGGTTTTGTTTGGTTTTTGCTCCCATTTCCCTCCATTGCCCACACTTGATTTTGATTTGGTTTGTTTTCTGCCATTTTGGGGGCAGGGCTTAGATATTTTCTTGTCTGTGGGTCTGTTACCCATTTCCTAGCTGTGGAGATCTTGGCTTCCTTAGTTTGTGTCAGAACCAGAAAACGCAGGTGTGTCCTGTCCACCTGGAAAACAATTGATCCAAAACCATTGGAACTAAACAAGTTCCCCCATTCTCAAACCAGGTGGTGACCAGAGATGCTGGGACAGCCTCGCTGCTCTAGTCTGTCTTATTAACATAGTCAGGTTTAAAGACATGTAAGGAAGCCAGGCCTGCAATGCAGCCACACTAATACCAATTACCATAGTAAGACCACTGACTAAGTAGGGACCAAGTAATGCCCTTCACTATTAGTGCACCCTGCACAGACCCAGCTCTGGGCTCCTACAAGGTGCTGCTGTCTCTAGTCCCAGCAGTTTCCCCCTCCACCCCCTACTTTTTTTTCCAGCAATAATGTGGGTCACAAGTACATTAAGAAGTTGTACATGCGAAGAAGGTAAAGTAGACAACTGTAAGCAAAAGCTCCCGGCTTCACTTTAAAAGGTATATGAGCCTGGTCACCCATGATCTGTACTCAGTCCTGGTGTTATGCAAATAGCATAAATACCAGCTTGATGTTAAGTAAATAACATGAAATTGATTTTTGCCTATTGCTTTTAATTTTATGTATTTTTTTTAGTTTTGCATTGCTTTAAGAAACTCAATTTTGTATTGCTTTATAGCTTGACATAAGTGCTTGAACTTTTACTTTTTTATATGCTATATGGATGAGAGTGTGTTTGTGGAAAAGAAAAACATCAGCTGGTGACTGGCTGAAGAATGCAGACAAATAAAAGACCAAACAAGAAAAATTTGCCCCAGAAGACAGAGAGAATAACAGTAATTGATTGTTAAGAAAGAACATAGTGATAACCCAGCAAAAGCCCACAGGACTGGGTGAATTGACAAGGCTATAAAAAATGGGGCGAGACATTGATTTTGGGTTTTGTTTTGCATGTTATTCTGGAGCATTGGCTTGTGTGACGAGATGGACCGGCAGGAGCCTGTCTCCCTCTTGGATCAACTTGGATAGCTACTGAGTTGATCCGAGCACTAATAAGACTAGTAACGTATACCAGCGTAGAATAGAAGTTGGGGTATGAATGCGGCGTGTGTGTGTGTATTAAGCACTTCATTAATAAATGTGGCACTTTACCTTATTCCCCTCATAAAGTTTCACTTGTGATTTGAGCAATTGGCAATTTGTGTAACATTTAAGTGGTGGAGAATTGCAAAAGCGGGGGGATACAGAGGAAACTCCATGTTTATTGTTCTTTTGGTGTACACAACTCGGGCTATAAAATTCCCCGAGCTTACAGAAAAAGAAAAAGTTGGATTCTTGCTGATTAGAAAATTCAAAGATGGTTTTGTTAAAAAAAAGAAGGGATGAGTTATAAACAAATTTATGGAAACAAGTTTATGGATGTCTCTCACCTGTAGATTACCTGAGAAACTAGGAGGGAGTTTAGGATCTCCATTTCTACCACTAATCCTTGGCTGTAGCCCTACTTGAGGGCTAAAGGGAAAATTTAGGTGTTGTGTGGTTGGTGACCGCAGATTTTAAAATATATTGTGTGGCCTAAGCCTTGTGGACTTCAAAGTGTGAAAACAGAGGTGGTATCTGAATAGAAGATAGTTTAAAGTATAGGAATTTATTAATTAACATCTAAAGAAATAGGTTAAGCAGTTGAAAAATCCTCAGTGTAGGCTGTCTGTTGAAGCTTTGCAGATGGCTGTTATGCAAAAAACAAAAGCAAAGACTTGAGGGTCCCTGTCCCCATTCCCCAGGAAGGGTCCCCAAGGCTGCCATGGACAGAGGGCTTACCAGCAGCCTGTCTCATGCATCCCACTGGAGAGGGGCTGTGGGCCTCAGAATCCCACTTCCAGACTGATAACACCTAAAAAAGAGCCTCAAAAGTAAGCATTTCATCCTGGCCAAATGTACCTTGACTCTAATGACAGCCCTAGGACTGGTAAATACAGAATTGTTAAATTGTTTGTATTGTTGATTTTTGCTATTGCTCTGCATCAGTAAACTTGCCTATTATTGACTGGCAGGTGTTGTGGTCAGCGTAATGGTTGTGCTCACCTGGAACAAAGGTATAGGGGCTGGTTCCTAAAATTCAGTCCAACAACTGGCCACTCCACCAGGACACAAAGGCAGTAACCTGACTGATCAGAGAATTTGTTGGTACAGAGTGACCCTTTCTAGAGGGGTTAGCTAAAATATGTAGTAACGTAGAGCTGTATGGTAACTGTGACTAGGGTTGTAAGTGTTGTGCAGGAAATGTTGTTTGTTAGTGCTGAGCAGGAGACTTTGTTTGCCTAGGTCACGCAGAGTAGTGGACATGGTTACGTGCTGTGGTCTGCTTGGGTTTAAGTAAGAACCTCCTGTTGTGTTTGCAATAGAAAGCTAAAGAGCAAAGAAAGTCTCTCTGCTAGAAAGGCTGTGTGAATGAACAGGGTCCTTTGGCTCTAGGGTCCTTGGGAAGGGTTACAGTCTTTTATGAATGGTTACAAGAACAGTTTTGTGTGTTTTCTGTGTAGTTTGTAAGGTGTAGGTTACAAGTGCAGGTTATGGCAAGGCAAAGTGTTATTCAGGCAGTGCAATTTCAAAAAAATCAGAGATAGAGGAATGTAAAAAAGATACTTTTGGATCCTGTGCACCCTGGAGGATAGAGGCAGGAGGTGGCACAAAAAGAAGCAGGGTATGTTACTGGACATCTGCTCAGGCAGTGGTGGAGAATTTGTGATTGGAAGTGAGGGAAAAACTTGGCTCCCCCCTTCCCTTCCCCCCCCCCACCTCTCTAGGAACAGTAAAAAGCCTAAAAGAGATTGTTATAAAAGTGTAACATCTTGTTTTGGGAAACATCAAGATACAGCTGTGTAAACAGAGATCAGTGCCCAGAATTACTTTGGTCAGAGAAAGAGTAAGTTTATCAGAAACATGTTTTGTTTTTTCTCTAGGAAGGCATGGTTTGGGGGGTTCCTTCTGGAAGTAGGAAGAGCTTTTCCAAGGGAATTGTGTGTGGTGTGTAATCCATCTCACACAGTCTTTCATGGGGAGCTTTCTCGGTTCTAGAACAAAGCTTGCTGGATTGTGTGTGCGTTGTAAGAACTGACAGGCTATGAGAGAAAGATCAAAATTTGCTGGATGTATTGGTTTGCAAAGTGCAAGGCAAAAAGGGCCACTGAGAATGAATTGTAAAGCCTGTATACCAAAAATGATACAGTTAAAATCTGTAAGGAAAAGGAAAGCTGAAAGTTAGGTAAGACTCAGAAAAAAGTGTGGTATTCCAAGCAGTGTGGTATGTGTTTGCTCTGTGTGTGTATTGCAAGGCAAAGAAACTGCTGGAAGTGTGTCTGCAATCTCATTGGTAAAGGGGGTGATTTTTTTTTTTACCTCCCCTCAGTCTCCAAAAAATAGTGTAAACCTTTTAAAAAGAAGAGTCTTAACAGCTTGTTAAAACAAAAAAAAATGGTTCTAAAAACTCAGTGTCAGCTATTAAGGCTCTTACTGTAATTGATAAAGTTAATCAAACCAAGGGTGGAGCTTGTCCTGTTCCTCTTGGCCTGGTTAGACATGTACGTTCTGGGGGTGCTCAGCCAGCTTCTGATGGTAGTCAGACAGAGTCTAGCTATAGCTATCCTGGTGCCACAGCTTGGTAGGGGTACAGTTCCTTTACTGACACTTATCTGTGTTTCCTTAGTTTCTGCCTCACACAGCCCAGCCCTGAAGACTTGTTTATCACATGACTTCTTTGCAGTCACAGAGATGCTGTCATATTTAGCATTTCGCTGCTTCCAAATTTTGTTCACTGCTTCCTAGATTCCTGCTTCTCCAGCATTGCTTCTCTCTGTTTGGCTTCTCCCTGATAATTCAGTACAAAGCACTGGCAGTTCCACCCTTCTGCGAACCTTGGCTGGCTGTTGGTTCTCCTGTCCATGTTGCACCACAGCTCTGTGATACTCTGAAAGCCAACACTGTATAGCTAACTTCCCATGGGGAGAGTGGGTTGGCTCCTTGAAAGCTGAACGTGAGGTTAGTGTGAAGCGGACAGACAATGGACATCCTCCTGTTTTTGAGCCCACAGGTGTGCACCTGAGCTGTGTTGCAGGGCCATTACGTGCTCTCTGTAACACTTGTAAAGACACCACTTCTGGGCATTTGGGCATGCTTGGGCATTCAAGTGCTGCTGCTCAGAGCTATTCTCAGTGGGCAGAGCATGGAACAAGTCTCAGGGCTTAGTGGGAGAGGGCAGCACTGGTGGATGTATCATGGGTTTTGCCATTGCATCAACTGTTCTTTTCTTTTCCAGATGTGGGCATGTGCTCTAGGCCACATGGATGCAGCTGTTGTGCTGTACAAGTGGGACCGCCGTGCTATTTCTATTCCTGATTCCCTTGGGAGACTGCCCCTGGCTATTGCCCGGTCTCGGGGTCATGTGAAATTGGCAGAGTGCCTCGAACAACTTCAGCGAGATGAGCAAGCTCAGCTTGGGCAAAACCCCAGAATCCAGTGCCCTTCAAGCGGAGAGTCCAACATGGAGAGCTGGGTGTCCCAATGGCATAGTGACATAATCAGTTCTCAAGAGCCCCCAAAGGGAGTCACTGTTATTTCCAGTTCCAGTACAGGTAAAAACAACTCAAAGGGGTAGTAGCTTCCTCTGCTGGAGCAGGCAGTTTACTGGGAAAAGAGGCTAAGCACAGCTGTGCCATTCTAGGTGTGTCCCTGGGTCTCTGCCTCTTGGTGGCACTTCAAGTGGTTGCATGAGCATTGATCAGTGCAGAAGTGTCCAACAGGGTGTCAAAAGCTGGCTGTTTTGAAAGCAGTGCACCTTGAATTGTGGGATCAATTTTGGTGTAGCTTCCTTGTAGAATGCCCATCGCTGCTGCCACAGAAATCAGTATGCCATGCATCTCCACCCATGGTGGGTGGGAGCGCTTTGTACTGGGATCACATGATGCTGGCTGGCTGGTCCTGATTTGCGGTCTGTTTGCTTCCAGAGTTAAGACGACCAAGGTCTGAGCCCTCCAATTACTATAGCAGTGAGAGCCAGAAAGATTACCCAGCACCCAAGAAACACAAGCTGAGCCCTGAGTACTTCCAGATACGGCAGGACAAGCTGCTCTCCACAGCTCTGAGCCTGGAGCAATCAAGCCTCCGGAAGCACAGTGCCAGCTCCAAGCAGCCAGCCCCAGAGACAATCAGCCCCAGTGAAGGGATGAGGGACTATGGCCGGGAGCTGTCCCAGCACCTCCCAGACAGCACTGGGTACCGTGGCCCTGGCAGCCAGGCAGGGATCAAATGGAGCCCCAAAGACCTTTACATTGGGGTGTCCACGGTGCAGGTGACAGGGAGCCCGAAGGGGCATGCACTGGGGAAGGACACGGTGGCCCATAGCTTGCACCAGCGGGAGCAAATGAACGTACTGCTGATGGCTGACAGGGAGATAGTGGACACGGAGCTGCTGTCCTACCGTGACAATGTGGAGAACGAGGACTGTTTGCACCATATGGAAGACTTGCAGGTAAGTCTGTGGCTGCTCCAGGGCCATCTTCAAGGCTCTGTTGGGCTGCGAGACATGGAGGGCCAGGGCAGGTGGTGTTACAGTTGCATGAAGTGCTGTTGAGCTGCTGGGGCACAGTGGGTACATGGGCTGGAAGGGTCACAGCTCCATGGTAATGTAGGAGCAGCCCTGGCCAGTGCAGTAGGATCATGAGAGAGGGCAGCACTGGGTAGAGATTCCAGGGGGTCATGTCAGTGCATGCAGGCAATTCTGCACAGAAACTGCATCTCGAGCCCAGGTACTGCAAGCCAGTGCCCTTGGGCATCCAGCAGCAGTGCAACTGGCTTTGTCATCCTGTGTGCAAGATTCTGGTCCTGTGCCAGCACTAAAGGCGCATTGCATCAGTGAGTAGCTCTGGCAGCTAAGAGAAGCCAAAGACAGCAACCCCAGACTAACAGAGGAGCTGCTGCCATGTGAGAGGCCTCTGAAGGCACCAGGAGTCTGGCAGTGAAGGAAGCAGGTCCTAGGAAGATCAGTGTACCAGATCTGCCCTCACCTTTCCTGCTGGGTATTTATCTCCCATGTTTCAGGAGAGAGACAGAGGAGAGCAGCTGGCGTTTTAGGGGAGGCTGTCTAGGGTGGGCTGTTGCAATCCTGAATGCAAGCTTCAGAAATAAACTGTCTGAAGCCAGCTGTACCCAAGCATAGCAAGGGAAAACAGGCCTTTGGGCCATGTGGAACTGGCAAGTGCTGTGCTCCTGTGTCTGGCATTGTTGGGGCTGGGATCTGGCACCTTCCCTAAGAAGCCCCGTCCCTGTCACTCAGCATTGACATGATTTTGCTGCTGTCTGTTCCTGGGCCAGGTGTGGGAGTTCAGGACCTTTACTTTGCTATTCAGGCTCCTGTTGGTTATAGCAGAGCAGCCCTAGCAGCTTCCAGGCTTCCAGTGAGTTTGGCTTTGGTAAGCTGTTCCTGGAGCTGAGCTGGTAGCACCAGCTGGTGACTTCTTTCAGCCCCATGTAGGTGTTCACAAGGACCCCTGGATGTGCTGACACATTTCCTGTTCTTCTCTGAGAGGTCTCTGCAACCTCAGGAACCAGGACAGCAAGCAGAGATGGTGTCCCCAGCACAGCAAGGGCACCTGAGCTTGGGGTCCTCACACGCCATCCCAATGATGAGGATGGCCTATGACCTGAAAACCCCATGTTCCCCTCTTAAGAGGGGCCCAGAGGCAGGTGATCCCTGGCTGCTGAGGAAGGAAGGGAGGGTCTCTGGCAACTGCTGCAGTGGTCAGGGACCTACAACTGATGTCTAATGTGTCCATGTATTGTAAGCCAGAGGTACAAGCAGCAGATTAACTCCTGCCATCTGGACGCCTGATATACACCCTTCTGCTTCTTCCAGCATGGTCCCAGATTGATATTAGGCCCATCCTTGAAAGAGTTGCCTACTCTGAGTCTGTATCAGTTAGGGGCTGGTCACAGCCCACAATGACACCAAGTTTATCTAGGGAACTGAACAGGTATGACCAGAGTGGATTTGATTTAAATCAAATCATTTTAAATGCTGATTTAAATCACTGGTCAGGAAGCCTCGATTTAATCATTGTTTTCTGCAAAAAGTTCATTCTTGTTGTTTGATATTCTTTATTCATTTAACTTCTTGAAATGGCACTTTTAGAGAAAAGTAAGGGCTTGACTGTGTGTACACAAACTTGCAGAGAGACAATAAGGCTGA